TTTGAAAAAAAATTCATTGTTTGTAATTTTATGCTCGATATTTGTTTAGATTCTGAGTGTAGAGAATAATGTATTGGTTTTGCTATACACTGTGAGTTTTTTTTTATGTTTGTCAACTACTTTTCTACTAGCACTCTTATTCCGATTTTTAAGTGTAGCATCTTTTTCGGCAACACATTTTATCTAGTAGATCAAAGTTGGACAAAGTTCTTTATAGTTAGGAAAAAACGTAGTACCGGTTTTGTTTTTCAGTTATAAATCGGTAAAACTATCGTAGGTATCTGTAATTTTTTTAGAATAATTATATTAGTTCTATCTAGATGTGATCGAATGTTGATGGAGAAAAGAGGTAAAAAAAAAAATTAAATGTAATGTAGTCTTTATACTAGCGTTCTAATTATGTATTTTGATGAACATCCCAACAATCGTGGTATTTTAAAACAAGTTTAACTGAACTTCAATTAGTATGCTTTTAATTAGAAATGCTTTATCGTTGTTTACAGTTAAAAATTAAATATTTCTGTATAAATCTATTTTTCAAACTTCTTACCTGCAACAGTGGCACACCCGCATTTTATTTCTTTAAGAAGATATGCGTTATCATCATGAATTCCGTAATATATTGTTAAGTATTGAACCTTTCTTACGAAAAATGTTTTTCTTATTAAAACTTGTTTATGCAAATAAAAAAAGTGTGTGTTTTTCTTCTTATTCAAAATCCCATCGTAATGAAACTTGCAGTACATTCCTTAAACCGTTCAGAATCTAATAATATGCGACGGCACGCTATATCAGATAGGAGACAAAAAGACTCGCACGCGGAGAATCTCTCACTTAAATGCCATAGCGCCCAAAGTTTATTTCCGTAATCCCGTATAATTAATCTTTTCCTGTTATAAATATGTATGTATACCTATATAAATATTATATACAGTGTAATCAGAATTTTATGTCACAACAATTTGCTCATATAAATATTCAAGATGGAAAGAATGTTTATTAAAAAAGCCGTATTAAAAATAATATAATCTACAATTATGATATGCAGGGTGGGAGTCGTCTTTAAGATTTTTTCCTATTAATATTTGATTTAATCTATTTACGTTTGTTGAAAAACAACTCAAAATTAAACCTTTCATTCAAGTTTATCAATACTTATTTTGAATTTAGTCTTAGGAAGATAATGGAACAAAAAATTAGTGGTAACTACTCATATTTTAGAATTTCATTTTCCTGCATTTTTTTTTATGGTCAACGTAGGTTACCTACTTGTATATTTTTGTGACAATCAATATTATCAAATAAGTAAACTAATGCAGATAAATACAAAAATAATCGTATAGCTTATCAAATTATACAAATTACGCTATTTATACAAAAAAAAATAAAAATCAGTGGCCATAGCAGTGATAAAGTTCATAGGTGGCGACTCCACCCTAAATTCAACATTATTACACACCCTTTTATGTAGAGTTTTGAAGTCAATTTTTAAAATTTAATTGGACTATATATAAATATACTTATATTCTTATAAGAAATTACTAATGTATTGTATACATATTTAGTTCAAATAAATAAAATAATAAAAATAAAATTTATTATATTTTTTGGTAAATATCATATTTCGTATTTTGTTGAAAGTACGTATTTATTTTATAATCGTGAAATTAATAGAAAAAACGCATCATTTTGCCTTCCTGAATATTGTCCTCTTTTAATTTTATACTTGGTAATTTTACATTAAAGCCAAAATAAACGAATTATACGAAGTTTGCGTAAGGTAGATTATCTATATTTCCCGTTAGTTGGACTGAAACAACATGCGGGTATGACGTCCGCTAGAATTTCTGTAGTCAAAAAACATAGTTTAATGCACTACTGATTGCCTGAGAACGATATCTTTACGTGATACTCACAGCAAATAAAATTCTATATGTTTTCATTTGAATTTTAAAATTTGACCACAAAATCATGCCTCCCAAAGAGCATCTAAAAATATTAAGCCTGTATATAATTTTAGATTGCATTACATCTGAATACGACTATTTCATTAATAATGAATTTCATTAATTCGTAAATTTCCCGTTTTTCTTAAGTTTTATCCTAGTTTTTCCCAGATATTATGAAAACCTCTTGGAAAATCAAAAAATCACCGTCCAAAAATATCATCCGAATAATATTCTCTTTCAGAAATGGTGCCTCGCGTATATATTTGTCAAGATTTCTGGACTTCTGGTAGAAATTTTGTACATAGTATAAAAAAAAAAATAAACATCTTAGTTATACCAATACATACTTCGCTACGCTCAGAATCTAAAATATATATATCAATGGTATTCTTCTCTCGGTAAGCATCTATATCTCGTTGAAACATTAAAACGTAATGTAGGTACGTATCGAGTTTTGCGCTCTATCACGAGAGAGGAAGTTTTTAAGTGTTATTATTATTGGCGTACGGCGACACTGTGAATCGCAAAATGTATTTTTTCCCTACTCATTATTAATATTATTTTTTATTTATCGTAATTTTAATCGCCTTGAATAATTATTACTATTATACATCTCAAACGTTTTGTAACTAGTATTATACATAATTAGATACAAGGGGTGTAGAAAAAAAAATACGACGACAATGACGAGTTTTTATAATATTATTATTATTACGGTTTACAATTTTATTCATTCATCCGGGGAAAACAGTAATAATAATGTTCGGCGATAAACTTTTACGGTGGTTTAGAAAAAAAAAAATAATAGTAATAATAATAAAAAAATCTTTGATTTTATTATTTTTATTGTATTTTTTCTTAATTTACCGCCTCCATGCACGCACGCGAACACCAGACGCATAAAACACCGCAATAAACGATAAATTTATATTTGTACGTAATATATATATTTTATAAAACATAATATACACATTATATATATGCGAATATTGCGTGTATCGTCTGGCTACAATCGATTGGCTAAAACGACAATTTATTTTTCCTTTTTTCCCGAATGAGTATATTATTTTTATACCTACCTGTATAATTCCGACTACATTATGGGTGTATTGTAATTTATTATTCAGGATTTTATTTCGTATTGTTCCAAAATTCGACCCGTGCGTGTACGTTTATTAGTACGAACAATATTGTTATTATATTGGTATTTATTACCTCACTTATCACTTTTAAAATGTGATCTACCCTGTACCCAACGTGGCTTCGGTCTTATCTACCCACCCTTTAATTATGTTCATCATGGTTTATCAACCAAAATTAAGTTACATTCGGCAAATTTTTACCCTGGAGTATTATCAGGTTTATATATTAAAAGAGATTTTTATATTTTGAACCGGGATCTTGATTTTTTGGTGATTTTCTTATCACACCGGAAGAACTAAGAGTATCCCGTATAATAAACGCACGAACCGTGAATACTAGAGAAAAGACGCCGAACTGTGTACATAAAAATGGTTCAGAATTATCGCATCTACCAGGAGCGCTTCGGACAGTAGTAATGTTGGTTTTACATGTAAATAATAGGTAATTTATTGGTTCTTTTTATTATTATAATTTAAATCGTGAAACTTATGAATAATTATTACATTACATTTTTTTAAGACTAAATTGACCTCGATCGAATAGATGTGTTTCCAAGCATATACGAATTCTAAACTAAGAGTTATAGTTATTTTTAAGTAATACTTTCGAATTTTATGTAGGTATACTTTTTGCCTAACCTAACCTTGAGATTTTTTTGTATGTAATATCCAAAGAAAATATTATATTCGACTACTCACCCACAGTCTCTAAACTGGTTGCTTATAGAGAGCCCCTTACAGCCTTACACATCTTTTCATTTTGCGTAAATTCCTGGCACTCTGGTATAGATAAAACAGAATAATTGTGCTAGGTATTATATTATCACCACAATTTTAGTATATCTAATGGCTGTACATTTTAAATTAAAAAATCAGTATACTATTTATTTTAAATGAAAACTGCAATTTCCAAGTACGCCATCACAGTAGCAGATTTTCTATATTTTTTTGGAAGGAATCCTGAAAAATCATATGCATTTCAAAGGTATCTATTATTATTAGATTTAGATGTCTCTTTTTTAGACGACATATTATTGAAATTATATTATATATATATATCTGTATCAAAAGATAGAGGTATCAAAACACCTACTAGAACAGAAGTTTATTATAGTATACCGTGGTTTAATAGATATCATTGACACACTTTGATTTAAAATTAAAATCATTTCCAATTACCCCACTTGGCCCTAAATAGATTAATAAAGTAATTTTACTTCATAAGCACATAAGCATATGTATAAAAATCTTCTTCTTCTTTTGGTCATACTACTCTCTCTAAGAGTTTTAGCCGTAACTACAATATTTCGTCACTTTTCTCAGTCTCGTGACATTTCATGCAAATTTTTAAACCCATCGCGCTCGTATTCTTTGCCATATCTTCAATCCATCTCTTTCTGAGGCGTCTCCATGGTAGTTTCTTTTGAGTTTTCTATTCAAAAGCAGCCCTTGATTGTTTTCTCCTCTCTTTAGGATATGCTAGGCTATTGGATTCTCTGACCTTTGATGAAGCTAACCAAGTACCGGTGCTCTATTGTATTTTCTTCGTCAAGTTTCTATATTTGTATCAAAAACACGGCTGCAGATTTTCCGCCGTACGTTATTTTTTTTTAAATTCTTAGCTTTCTCTCTGTAACCGTCGTTTTCGTCCAAGCTTCACACCCATATGTCAATGTGGTCTTATAATTGACACAGATAATCTCGTTTTGGAACTCATCTATTGCAATTTGAAGTTAAGAAATGTCATTAATACATGAACGGTTTTTTCGGCTTTGTTTATGCGAATATTTATCTCAGACCGGTCATTTTTAATGCTCAACGTTGCTCCCAGATATTTGAATTCTTCTACTTTTTCAAAATTCAATCCTTATCTTTGCTAGGGGTCTACAACACTATCAAATATAGTTCCATTACCTTTGTATTGCTTGGGTTTATTGCTAGGCCGATTTCCTCGGTAGTATTTTCCAACGTTATTGACGTGTTTGCTAGTGTCTGTTAGCGAGTTTCCTATGATATCCAAATCATCTGTGAATCCAAGTCCACACAGGCTGATATTGACGTTGTGTTCTACGTACTGCATCTCTTTTACAACTTTTTCTAGTGCCAGGTTGAATTCTATTGGATACATTGCACCCTCTTGCTTCAATCCTGTGTCCACTTTAAAGGATATACTTTGTGTTGTCCACTCTCACTCTGTACTATAATTTCTCAATATAAAGTTTGCTTTGTCTAACTAGTTGTTTTTTGGGGAACCTAAACTCATTCATTATGTTCTATAAGCTTTCCCTATGGATACTGTGGCATACTTTTCTAAAATCATAAATTCCACTAAAATTCCAAAATACATCAATATACATATCAAATGCATATCTGAAGCAGCAATCAAGGCCAAGAAAGGAGCAGAAACAATATGGTTGAACCCTGAAATAAAATTGTTATTCAGCAGAAAACACGTAATAGTAAAAATAGGCTTCAACGTAATACATTAAATAAACATTATTATCTATAATATAGCTCGTAGAAATAATTTTAATTTAAATACTATTAAAAAAATGCATAAACGCAACAAAGAAAAAATAATAAACAACTCACAAACTAATGTTAAAAATTGTAGTATGAAATATCAAAATAATATGTCTAACGAATTCATTAAAGTTCTGAACAATAATATAAATAATGTAAAAATCGCTTTTAAGGCTAATAGTAATTTAATCAAACGTATAAACAATAGAACTAAAAACTTCACAAAAAATCCCCCTTCTTTTGAACATGCTGGTATATATAAACTTAAATGTAACTGTATTAAATCTTATAAAGGTAATACAAAAAAAATGTTAAAATAGTCTATAATGAACACATTTTTGAAATAAAATTGAAAAAGACTGCCCTTAATTCTACATCATGAAATATTTTATTTCATAACAACATACAAAATTAAATGTATTAAGTTGCTAGGTAATAATGTTATTGTTATCAAAGTATTATAACATCGTACATGATTTACGATTTTAAGATTTGATAAGCTTGATGTTTTCGATATTCTAAACATTTTACATCTCAGTAGGATTTCTAAAATATAAATATAATGGTCGATGCAATTTTAATTAATCTTCTTTAAGCAAAATCATTAATTCTGCACTAAATTCCATTTTTTATGAGGCAGCCATTGTTCGGTGCAACACCCGTCCCTATTACCCTAGAACGTTTTTTTTGTTAAATATTAATAATATTTGTAATAGTAATTATTGTAAATTTTGTATGAATCCTCTATCCCCCGATTTTTTTTGTGTTCGTGCTTGGCTAAAATCGATCCCTGAGGGATTTCATTATTCACTCTCCTCCATTTACTCTTTGGTACCTGAGTGAACTTGGAATCGTCGGTTTGCTAGGATTTTTTCTAAAAGTGTCACTAACTTCCTACATTTAATAACCTTGTTAAACTTAATAATTTTAATAATATGAATTAACAATAATAATAATAATCATAAGTTTAATAATTTGTTGATGATCAAAATTACGATTTATGGTTGCCATAAGTATACTGATTATTATTATTGTTGATTTAGGTATATTATTAAAAGTATTGATTATTATTATTGCTGATTATGATTATGATTTTTAAAGTACTCATTATAGTTTTATATTTTGAGTGTAGCGAATAATGTATTGGTTTTACAATGATGTTTATTTTTTTTTTATTTTCATTTTTTCTTTTATGGTGAAAAGCTAAATTTAAATTTAATCCTTAAAGTACCTTCCCTGTCAGATTTCCTTTCAGAAAAAGTACAATTATTTTAATCGAAGCAAATTTGCTTATAGAAAAGTTGTTCACAGAAAAAAAAAATCGTAACATTTCACTAATATATTTCGTAAATTTTCCTGTTTTTCCTCTATTATTTTTTTGTTTTTCATAATTGATAGGAAAACTTGAGAAAACCAAAAAATTACATCCCTAAAGTACCTCACTAGTCCAATTTCATTTTAGAAAAGTTGCTAAACCAATAATCGAAGCAAGATTTGTGATATATTAATCAACAATAATGACAATTAGCATACTTATATCAACCATCAATGATGATAATAATCATCATCAAATATCATAATCAGTAATTTAATAATATAGCGAACAATAATTCTAAGCGTAAGTTTAATAAGGGTATTTATTGTTGACTATTATTATTATTATTATTGATGGTTGTTATAAGTATGCTGATTATTAGTATTGTTTATTAATATTATTAAAAGCTTTTTTAAATGCATTATTATGCTTCTTATTGAAATGCTCATTATCATCATGATTTTTAAAGTGAAATCATTATTATTATTTAAGTGATCATTATATGTATGTAATAATACCTATATTATCTATTAGGTTTTTTATAAAAATACTGTTAAATGCGTACCCACACCTACACCTATAAAACAGTTATTTTCAACTCTTTGCTAAAATATTTCCGCACAAATTGTTTTTCGTTGCAACGATAACATCGAACGTGTACATTTTTATATATTGTTATAAAAATAATAACAATAATACTTGTATAATATTTAAGGAAATTTCATAACAATATAATTATTACGAATTATTTTCAAAGTTTTCTTTATTAATATGTTTTTAATTCAATTGCTATTATTTCCCATCCGTCCACCCACTCTTACTACTACCCAGGCACCGTGCACTCGTCTACTATTCGTCCCGTCTATAATCGAATTCCCGGCCTGAAATCTAAACGACTCGGACGGCGACGTCGATGACGATGACGACGATGGCATTTGCTCCGTACCGTCGTCGTTGTCCTCGCTATAATATCGCGGAAAATTAAAGTGCCGGTCTCGGCATGCGGTTATTATAATTTATAGTATTATACAGGTACGCGAGAATATAAAACGAAATATGGGTTACGGTTAATATTATTGTATTTTATAACAGCGTGTACTGGCCGATAATGTGTAATATTATACGTTTCTGACGCATATTGAGACGAGAATCGAAGGTTATATTATTGTTTATATTATTATAGTCTCAATATTATTTTCTCGAGTCATTTTTCTCCGTCAAGATTTTTTTTAAATTACTATATATTTATATAGGTATCATCATTATCATTTAACGATTTAACTTTGAGCCTAGAAACCAGAAAAGAGGAAGAAGTAGAAGAGTATAGTTAGGATTTTATGAAGCTGGTTTAATTTCATAAAGATATGTTTTTTCTACAGTTTCTCATAGTACCTTATATATGCCTGTTTTCTGTTTGATAGTGCCAATTTTAGTTATGCTCAAGTTAACTGAGCACCTTTAATAATTGTTTTATGATTGAAAAAAATTGAGGTTTTTAAATCGTTTTTGAGGATTTTTAATTAAATTATAAACAATAATAACAATAATAAACTTACCGAATGTTTTTCTGGATGTATTTCTCGTTCTATAAACTGGATACGGTAAAATCGTTTAAATATTTTTATAATTCGTTGAGTACCTATTTCCCAAAAGTATAAAAATATATTATTAAAATGCATCTTGCAATATAGAAAACAGTTTATAAAGTTTAAAATAATAATATCAAAACAACAGAGAATAAACAAAAAAAAAACTTATATTTTCGCGTGTAATTCTATGTATAATCATAATATATAGGCACTGTACAAAAACCACAATTTCATTAAAATGTCAATAATAATCTTAATATTGGTAATCTATATATTCGATTTTTTTTTAATACGACGACAGGTGCGAATATTGTGATATTATTTTTATCTGTATAGTGTAAATATTATTATATTGTTCATTATAATATTATATAGATATTACTATAATATTATATATTATTATATAATAACAGAGATCACAGTGGTTACAAACGTTATACAATAATATTATTAATACGTCTTTTCTTATATAGATAAAATTTTTTGTTTTCGTACATCATCATTACAAAAGAAAGAAAAAAAGATTTAAAACAATATAATAATAATATGAAACTTAAATAAAATAATAATTAAAAAAAAAAAAAAAAAAAAACATTTTACATTTAATATTTATTATACGTAAATAATATTACCTAACAATGACTATATTATTATAATTTACATAGTAGCGGTGTTTTGGGTAGAGAGCCTATATTATATTATCACAATCAGAGAGCAGCCGTCTTTTTGTTATCACTATACCATGTGGGACTCGAAGTGTTCTCCCAAGAGCGAAAATTCATGGAAGAAACGAACTCATTTTTCCCCTATGACCTACCCGACGCGGTTTCGGAAATCGAAGGTTATTTTGGATTAAGTTCCAACCACTGAGATAGATAAGAATATACTAGTATATCGATCTCAGTAGTTCCGATACAAGTTCACGAAACGATCGAATGGAATTGAATAAAAGCGTCATACGAAGCAAATATTGGAATATTTGAGATGTTTAATGATTGTTTTTCATATCATGCGTTCGGAGAAAGAAGCGGTAGATCTGACCCTATCGCATATGTATGTTATGTACGTGAACGTTTCCAATGGTTCTTCACGGAATTTGGATAAATGATGGCGTCATCTATAATAGCGAATAACAGAATGACCAATAGGAAGGCATTAGACATGTTGGCCTGTCTCTGCAGCGGATAATAGATATAATATTGGCTCTCTATAATAGTTCTGGGTATTTGCGCATCGTATAATATAATTATATGGTACAGTAATAATAATATTAATATTTTATCAACAAGACGTTTTTTTCACGCACATATACTCTATATTAGCCAATCGTATTATTGGTACATTATGTATATCGTGCAAATAAAACAAAAATATAAGAGTATATTGAATATGACATTATAAATGCACTCTAAAAAGTAATAATATTCACCTAATGACCAGTTATAATTAAATATATTATTATTAATATTCTTTCAATACCAGGTCTGGTAACACGTATTTTATTTATTTTTTTGTCAAAGCATTGTAATTGATTGATAATAGTAACTCGTTTACACGCATTTAATAATTTTCCCCTTGTAACTCGACTACTCATTTGCGCCCAGGAAAAATGTGAGTGTTTCTGAATTTCCTGACAATTCATATACCATGCCATTCAATTTTATTAATAGATTACAAAGTTATCAATATGAATGTAGATTTATAGCACATTGATAATAAATCAGCTTTTATACGTTATTTATTGTTGGACATTATTATTTATGCAAGAAAATTGATAAGGGATCATGATCATAATATAGTACTATAATAATTCTTGTGCTTGATCATCCCGCCATACAACTTGTTTTATACTACCAAAACGTGATCTACCCTACGTGGTATTTTCTATATTCCGCTTGTTTAACTTACGAACAGCTAGTAGTGCGATTACATTATCAAATCAATTTCAATTGTTATTTTAAAACACATATAAAAGCGAACGCTGTTTAAATATAAGGACATTATAGATTTAGTGAATTTTTTATTTTAAAATCAATAAGTGCATTATTGCGTGTGTGTGCAAAAGAGTAGCAAGTTTTGTGCGCAAAAGAGTTGTACCCCATATATCATATCAAAATCGCTTAGTTTACTTTATTTCTTATTTTTTGGTAAAATTTTCTTTAACAACTAAGTATAGTGACGTGCTGGAAGCTGCACGAGGTATGAGTTACCAGTAAAAACACTAAATTATTACTAAATATAATTTTACAAATATTATAATTTATCCCGATGACAAATACGAGTAAATAGGTCTCTCGTCCCTAACCACCGTTTTTTTTTTTATCTCCTAAAACTAAATACGAGTATATTACCTTTTATAATATTACGTAGGTATTGAATTTGTTTTTTTTTGTGTTATTAAAAAATACAATTTTGGGTTCTTTGTGCTTATAAAATAAAATGCGATCGTATTATATAAACAATCGATGATGCGATTTCATTGATCAATAGATCATATAAATATAAATATTTATATTAGTATTTTTTTTTTTCGTAGTGAAGATATAGTAATATGGGCTGTATAATATAATATTTTACCCGACCGGCACTTGCAGTCTCTCTATGGCTTCAATCTCTTAAATCCGACTCCGTCTGATCCTAATTTAAGTTCTTCATACAATGTGGGCGACACTTCAGTAGCTGTATGCAAGTGATCTTGTTTCCATTCAGCAGTACCAACACCGTTGGTCGAACCCGAATAAGGTAAATCAGTGTGGTTCTATAACACATAGAAAGAAAAAAATCAGTTTTGCATTATTCGGACGTTTCGATTAGTAACTTAAAATTTGGGGGGAATTAATGTTCCAAATTATAAGAAGATCACAAGGAAAGAAGTAGGCTTGTAATCCATTTTTCGTTAATTTTAAGACAATAGTAACGTTTAATGGTATTTTGAGACTATATTATCGAATGGTACCGTGTTCCGTTCGGCGAAAAAAAGCTGCAATTAAATAATATAGAACGTAAAATATCGGACATAAGATACTAGTTAAAAAATGAATTACCTAGAAGTTTTGCTCTGTGTAATGAGATTCAAAAATTGACCAATACTCTGTTTTCCCTATTCCCTTCATATAATTTAATCTAACGCACAAAACCAAAATGACTATTTTGTTTTTAATATGACTTGTAAAAGGCACAGAGGGCATTTCGTCAAGGGTAGACGGAAATCAAAAATTTCAAAACCAAAATTAATTTAAACTAATACTTCATCTATTTATCGAACTTTTAATATAGGTTGACATTTTAAAATCAAAAGTAAGTAGTCGGCTTACCTGTAAAAATAAGGGTGACAAAAAATAATGACAATGACAAACATTTTCAAGCTATACTTGTATCTCAAGTTGCAATAAAAAAAAAAAAATTACAAAAAAAGTTAATATTTACCAAGTAATCACCATGATCATAATATTATCTTCGTGGAACACTCTGTACACGTATAACACTCATACAATATTACCAACCTATTCCGATTATTCAGCATAATATATTCATCATTGAAATTCGTTTTCATAATAGTGAAGTAATATAATATACGTATAAATTCAATAGCTAGTCCAATTGTTTTGAAACTAATTTGTCGAAAGTATGCAGTTTATAATAAGTACTTGCAGTGGTGTACCCAGGGGATGGGGTTAGAGGATTGTACCCCCCTCGAATTGTCTTTGAAATAAAAAAAAATACTAATAGTTTAAAAAAAGAATAAAGTGTTAGTATACTTAAAAGTTTACACAAATAATATACAAGTCCAGTTCAGTGTAGTGTATATATTATAATAATAGGTAGCTCTACGATTATCGATTATCGTTTTCAGTTAATCAAAAAGACAAAGTATTTTGCAATTGTCAATAGAAGAATTTTATCCAATATCCACAGACTAATCGTTTTAAACTAAAAAAATCTATGTGCAATTCGATGGGTCGATCGCCATGATGCAGTTATATTATTTGAAGAACTTCAACCAGCCATTTTATATGCACTAGATAAAATTACACTTTGAACAGATTCTAACACTTCTAGTTCTGTAAGTCATCTTTTTACTACGATAAAACAGTTAAAATTTCAAACAGCTTTATCTAAGCATTAGAAGCTGCTAACGTTCACAATAACTGTCAGTGAAAATTTTGATATAACTGTTAGTTTGCCACGCCAATCTAAATCAGATGATCCAGAATATTTTTTTAAGTATTTATACCTTTTATAGATAATTGTTTAGACCAATTGAACGAAAGATTTATATCGCAAAGGATTGTTTTGAATAATTTTGATTACATTTTAACCAAGATCAAAATGAAAATAGCTGAAGATATTAAAGATAAATTCAAACAATTAGTAGAAACATATCAAGATATAATTGATGAATGTAACGGTTCAAATTTAAATGATCATATATTAAACGGAAAATTAGTTTTGTGGTACTCTAAAAACTCAAGAACAAAAATACTATTGAATTATGCTTCCAAACTAATCCAGATGTTTATTCAGTAATATCTAAACTTCTTCAAATATTCATAACATTTCCAGTGTTTACTGTCACGGAAAAACGATCGATAACAACACTCCGTCATTTTAAAACATATTTGAGAAATTCTTCGGGACGAATACGTTTAAATGGTTTAGTCTTCCTAAAACATATTCATCGCGATATCAATGTGGATATCAATGATATTATAGATAAACTTGCTAAACATAAAAACAAAAAATGCATGTACATTTATAATTTTTAAAAAAGATAAATATTCCAACTTTTAAATTATTAGCACTGTAAAATGGTAATACAATGTTTAATGTATAATTATATTACACGTAAAATTCAAAATAATTTAATTTGTTATATTTTTTTCAACCCCCCCCCCCCCCGCCCCTCA